GGGAGCGAGCGAGGGCCGGGGGCGCTGGGACGAGTGCTAGTCAATCCCTCGACTCCACCATCCACCCGCCGCCCAGACGCCTGGGCCGCGGAGTTTGTGTCCCGGCTCGGACCCCGGCGCCCAGCCCAGAGCCGTAACCTTGAGGCGGCGGCGGCGGCGGGGCCGGGCCGGGCCGGACCGGGGGGCGGCGGCGCTGGATCCACGATCGCCCGATCGCAGGCGGGAGATGTCGAATCCCGGGACGCGCAGGAATGGCTCCAGCATCAAGATCCGTCTGACAGGTACGGCCGGCCAGAGGCCCACACCGCCCCCAGCGCCCACCCAGACCCCGAAACCCCGGAATTTCCCCAGATCGCCCTTGGAAAGTGTCCCTCCCCCAACCAGCCGTTGTCCCAGGACCTCGTCACCCCCTCCACGAGTGCCCCTCGCTGCTCCCGGCCCCGCCCCCTCGCGGTTCTCCTGGCCCCGCCCCCTCATTTCTCACCTCCACCTTCCAACTCTCCCAACCTTCTCCCGCCTGGCCACGCCCCCTCGTTTCTCACCTCTACCTTCCAACTCTTCCCTCCATCTCCCTCACACCTGCCTCCTTCCTTCCTCCAGGCTCCACCTCGTCCCCTTGCTTCCTGCCCTCCAGCCCCCACCTGTGTCCTGTCTCCTCTCCCACTCTTGTCCCCTTAATTCCCTCCTGCCTCGTCCTCATCCCCGTCCCCATTTTTTCTCTCTACCTGCCTCCTTTCCCTGATGCCTTTCTTTCCTCTTCCCCAACCTGCCTCCTAGCTCCCCTGACTGGCCCCGCCCCTTTCTTTGCCCCGCCCCTCATTTTCTCCCTAGACCCTCCCCTCTTGTCTCCCATTCTTACCACCTGGCTCCTTTCTTGCATGGCATCCCTTTCCTTGAGCTGGGTGTCAGCCCTATCTATGTCTTCCTCTCCAGGCCCTGCTCCCCACTTCTCTTTTGGACCAGACCTCTTCAGTGTATCCCACTTCCTCTTCCTCTCACCCAGATCTTTCCACCCCTTGACTCCTGTCACTTAACACACACACGCCATACACCCATACTATACACCCACACATACACCATCACCCACTCACACTCCACAGACACCACCATACACACACACACACACATCATACATACATCATACACACATACATCATACATACCCATACACACACACCACACAGTATACACCCATACATACATCCCCCCCACACTGTCCATACACACACCATATTCATACTCCATACACAGACACACCTCACAGAGCTCACACACCATACACACACACACACACACACACACACATCACCCATATACGTCATACACACTACCTTCCCACACCCCATACACACATCACCCCAACTCCCAAACACCCCATCCACACCCCACACACACTCCCACCATCTCCACACGCACCTCCACACACACCTCCTTGGCAGCAGGACAAACCAGAATTCTCATTTGCTTTTATTTTGTTATCACAGAAATGGCCATGTGGCTCAGCTGGCTTTGTAGTGCCACTTGAAGGGGGAGTGGGCAGCTTCGCTGTGGCCTCAGTAGGTGGCTGAGAAGTCACCACTGTCAGCATCCTCACCTGCGCTTTCTCCCTCTCTCTGCATTTGGCCCGTCCACCCTTCACTAGACCTACCATTTCATTCTAAATTCACATCTGACGCAGTGTTGTGTTACAGATGTGGTGTTGCTGGGGGGACTTTCCAAACGAGAATGTTTCCAGCCTTGGAAAAGAAAGTTTCTTCTCAGTCCTGTCAGGGATTTCCCTCTCGAATTTTCTCTGCAGTTTCTGGCTTAGTAAGGACACCTAAATCAGTATCTGGTTGGATGCTTTCAAAGTTGGAGTGAATATTCTGAACACTTTAGAGCAGACACAGGTGCTCTGGTGGCACTGGCGTTAAATTGCTGGGCTGCTAACCAAGAGATGAGAGGCTGAATTTACCAACTGGCTTCCAGATTAACAGCCTTGGGAACCCTGTGGAGCAATCTACTTTGTCCTCAGGGTTACTGTGACTCAGAGTGGACTGCATGGTAATGGGTTTTGATTTTTCTCTTTTGGTTATGGTAGATACAGAGTCACAGAGTCTTCAAGTCATTGGCAAAATCCATGAAAACAATTGGCGATTTATTTATTGAACAAAAATTTCCATTGAAAACCCATGGTTGTTGCATGGTGCACTACATGAGCGCGTGTGGGGTCTGTGTGTCATGGAAAACGTGGTTGTTGTCGTTGCTTTTACAAAGATGTCAGATCTGGAATGATTTGGACCTAAACCCAGAGCCTGGTTTTGTCAGGTGACTGGTGTATTCCATGAACCTTAGCTTCTAGAGAGAACTACTGCTCTGTGTCAGGGCCTGGCGACGAAACCCTTTTTGCTTTGCATTGGACACGAAGCTCTTTTTATGGCTACATGAAAGCCAGGTTTCTGACATTGCAATCCTTGTAAACCTTTAATTACGGACAGCTTTAATTTGGTTCTCATTTACAATATAATCTATAATTGACAGCAGCTCCTTTTCTGTTCTCTTGTTAATAGGGAAGTAACTGATTTAGTGAGTTTTGGTAAACATGTGATTCAGATTTGAGAAGGAATCAGGTTTTAGTTAGAAATGTATGTGTCAGATACTAGGCATATATATATATATATTCTACTTGGCAGGCCCGGGCCTGGTACTTTTCCTTGGGAAAGAGAGGAAAATTGTACATTGTTTTTGGATTCAGCAATTGAGATGTCATAGATACAGACAGGATGGTTTTTTAAAAGAGCTTTTAGCTGACATTTGATACTAAATCATCAGAGGATGATGAATGTACTTTCCAATGCACCTTTTCTCCTTCCCTCTTGTTGTTAACGGTCGTGGAGTTGGCCCCGACTTGACTTATGGTGACCCTATGCACAACAGAATGGAATGAATGAACAAATTGCTGCTCAGTCCTGCATCAGTCCCATGATTGGTTGCCGATTGGATGGTTGAGATCCACAGGGTTGTCATTGGCTGATTTCAGTAGATTGGCCAGGCTTATCTTCCTGGTCCTTGTTAGTTTGGAAGCTCTGCTGAAACCCCAGTTCATCATCACAGCAACATGCAGACCGTACTGACACCTGAGTGGTGGCTGTGCATGAGGTGTGTATTGCCGGGAATCAGACCTTGGTCTTGTGAGAATTCTACCACCGAACTATGACTGCACCCCCTAGAATGAAGCTGAGAGGAGGGTGCGTGTCAGGTATTGAATTGTATCCCTTCAAAATTGTTGTCAACTTGGCTATCATGATTCTCACTGGTGTGGCAATGATACAGTGATATAGTTTGTCAGTTATGTAATGCTGTAATCAACCCCTGTGTTGTGATCCGATGTGAGCAGTCCGTCAGTCCGTTGTAAGGGGATTAAAGTGAGTGCGATGCAATACCCTGTCTTGGGTCACTGCCCTGATTCCTATGAAGGGGAGTTTCCTTGGGGTGTGGCAGCATCACCTTTTATCTTACTAGAGATAAAATGAGACACTGCTTACAGAGAGAGAAGGACCTCATTACCACCAAGAAAGAAGAACCAGAAGTGGAGTGCATCCTGCTCTGCAGTCAGAGCGTTTGCACCGAGAACCTCCTAAACCCAGGGCTAATTAATGCCAAAACACATGGAGGTCTTTAAGGGACGCTGCTGGGCCCAGAGATGTTGAAAGGAGACAGGGACCTTTCCCCAGAGTTGGCACGCAGAGAGAAACCTTTCCCCTAGAACCGGCACCCTGAGTGTGGACTTCTTAATGTAACATTGTAGTATAAGCACTGGACTGCTTGAGGTCAGCAGTTCAAACCTACCAGCTTCTCCTCGGAAATCCCGCAAATGTCTGTATTGGTATTCCTGTGACAGCACCAGAGAACTGAGACAGTGTGTCGTTGTGAATGTCCCTGAAACAGGACTGGGAACTTCGTAGTGATAGAAGAACACACATGTTGGCAGTTGGCTGTTGAACTTTACGTGGAAACGCTGGAATAATGCATTTCATTTGAAGGTAGAATAATTTTGGGACTAATTTTTAAGGTGGTTATAGGAAATTTGAGATCTCTTTGTTTTCTAGCGTATTGTGTAGCTATTTTTTCAAAAGTAGAACTCTTTTTTGCTGGTTTCAGAATTTTTGTTTGTTTGTTTGTTTGTTTCCAGGTGTGATAATTGAAAATGCAGTTTTGAAGCAAGGGAGATCCTAATCAGTCATCAATGAATAGAATACTACACAAAGCATAATAAAATGCAAAGTTTACAGACTGGAGTTATAAAAGACCATTTAAAACTTTTGGATACACAGTTGTAATTGCTTGTGGGTTGTTTTGTACCATCCAGTGGATTACATGCAGAGTAGAAAGCTTTCATTAACGCTTAGGGATTCCCAGATGGTACAACTGATCACTAGCTCTTTTCTCCTGGAGAGCAACGGGTGAGTTCATACCACTGACCTTTTGATTAACAGCTAAGTGGTTCATCCTTACACCAACAGGGATCCTTTGGTTGTGGCTGCTGCTGCTGCTGCTGCTGCTGCTGCAAACCCATCGAGTCGATTCCGACTCTTAGTAACCCTGTTTAGGGTTTATGAGGCTGCATTATTTTTACAGGAGCAGAAAGCCTCATCTTTTTCCCATGTAGTGGCTGGTGGATTTGAACTGCTGACTTTGGAGTTAGCTGCTCAATGCGTAACCACCATGCTACCAGGACTCCTGGTTGTAGGTAGAGCGTTAGATTTAAAGTCAAGAGACTAGGATTCTGTTCAGCTCTTCCATGAACTATATGATACAGAATGTGTTATTTAACCTTCCTGGGTTTCAGCTTCCTCATATATAAAATGAGATTTCAACCCTTGTACTATCTTTGATTCTGCGTTTCACCATATCAGTTTGTGTACCTACTTACTCCAGGTTACTGCAGGGGCATTTCATGCTTTCTGTTACATTCAGTGCTGGTATTCAGCAGACTGTGTTAAGTCACAGCACTTGTGTATGATTTATGCCAAGCATTACTTTTGCATACTGATTATGTTTATGATTTTTTTGCAGCATATGATTGAGTGATAAGATGTTGAACTGCTTTGTAAACCTGGCCTAAGCAGTTGAGGAAAGTGTAATTCTTTATAGTTAAAAGATTGGAAAGTTCATGAATGTTTTTGTAGTATTTTTGCAGGAAAATAGTTTTCAGTAGACTTTTTGTTTATAATAGGTGTAAAATCAAGGGATCTTTGCTAAAGAGCATTTTAGAACTCGCAGGCAAACCGAGTTTGGGGAC